ATCTCTTTCCTTCCACTTGCATCACCAGCACCTTCTGACCCACATTATTTTCCCGTTGTCTCTGCACATGAACAGAACCACACCAGTCTTTTTTATTATTATTACACGCTTTTTATTAACTCACTGTGTCTGTTGTATGCTCAAATCTTGTTACTCAGTTTTTACCCACTTCCCAATGTGGTATCGACTGCAAACTTGGTATACTGATGTCATACTGATGACAATACTATATTCTATCATTAAAAATGTTAAATATATTTTTAAACAATCTTTTTTATATGTTATGTTTCGGCTTGGGTTGAATTGTCCACGGTCCCTTACGTTATGGCAAACTTCGGGGCCACTTCCTGGAGTCGTGGAGTTCTTCCATTACTAGTACGGTACATTTAATATAAGCGTGTTTTTAAAAAAGTTATTTTAAATATTACTTTTTTCTCTCATCTTCTCTGTGATGTCTTCCACTTTGAGTTTTCCTCTCACTTCTTCATTTCTCACCCTGTCCTTGTATTTGTTTATACTTTTATTTATTTTTTACATTCTGTAAGGTGGTAACAAAAACATTTGAGCAACATTTAACAGAGTCTATATATATGTTTTTCAGTAGCAATTTACCAGTGGTTCTTCTTAACCTGGGGAGGATGCACCCCCTGTGGGTGTGAGATGTCCTTTCTGGGGGTGCGAGACATGGGCAGATTTTTTTTTAAGCTAAATCATCGAAAGACAAATTATGCACGGGCACGTGGGTACAACTTCTATATTCTTGGTTCTTTCGTTAAAGTCACCACGTACAGTGAGGGAAACAAGCATTTGATCCCCTGCTGATTTTGTACGTTTGCCCACTGACGAAGAAAGGATCAGTTTATAATTTTAATGGTAGGTTTATTTGAACAGTGCGAGACGGAATAACAACAACAAAAATCCAGATAGACGCATGTCAAAATGTTATACATTTATTTGCAATTTAATGAGGGAAACAAGTATTTGACCCACTCTCAATCAGAAAGATTTCTGGCTCCCAGGTGTCTTTTATACAGGTAACGAGCTGAGCTTAGGAGCACACTCTTAAAGGGAGTGATCCTAATCTCAGCATGGTACCTGTATAAAAGACACCTGTCCACAGAAGCAATCAATCAATCAGATTCCAAACTCTCCACCATGGCCAAGACCAAAGAGCTCTCCAAGGATGTCAGGGACAAGATTGTAGACCTACACAAGGCTGGAATGGGCTACAAGACCATTGCCAAGCAGCTTGGTGAGAAGATGACAACAGTTGGTGCGATTATTCGCAAATGGAAAAAACACAAAATAACTGTCAATCTCCCTCGGCCTGGGGCTCCATGCAAGATCTCACCTCGTGGAGTTGCAATGATCATGATAACGGTGAGGAATCATCCCAGAACTAAACGGGAGGATCTTCTCAATGATCTCAAGGCAGCTGGGACCATAGTCACCAAGAAAACAATTGGTAACACACTACGCCGTGAAGGACTGAAATCCTGCAGCACCCGCAAGGTCCCCCTGCTCAAGAAAGCACATATACATGCTCGTCTGAAGTTTGCCAATGAACATCTGAATGATTCAGAGGACAACTGAGTGAAAGTGTGTGATCAGATGAGACCAAAATGGAGCTCTTTGGCATCAACTCAACTCGCCGTGTTTGGAGGAGGAGGAATGCTGCCTATGACCCCAAGAACACCATCCCCACCGTCAAACATGGAGGTGGAAACATTATGCTTTGGGGGTGTTTTTATGCTAAGGGGACAGGACAACTTCACCGCATCAAAGGGACGATGGACGGGGCCATGTACCGTCAAATCTTGGGTGAGAACCTCCTTCCCTCAGCCAGGGCATTGAATGTGTCGTGGATGGGTATTCCAGCATGACAATGACCCAAAACACACGGCCAAGGCAACAAAGGAGTGGCTCAAGAAGAAGCACATTAAGGTCCTGGAGTGGCCTAGCCAGTCTCCAGACCTCCCATAGAAAATCTGTGGAGGGAACTGAAGGTTCGAGTTGCCAAACGTAAGCCTCGAAACCTTACTGACTTGGAGAAGATCTGCAAAGAGGAGTGGGGCAAAATCCCTCCTGAGATGTGTGCAAACCTGGTGGCCAACTACAAGAAACGTCTGACCTCTGTGATTGCCAACAAGGGTTTTGCCACCAAGTACTAAGTCATGTTTTGCAGAGGGGTCAAATACTTATTTCCCTCATTAAAATGCCAATCAATTTATAACATTTCTGACATGCGTTTTTCTGGATGTTTTTGTTGTTATTCTGTCTCTCACTGTTCAAATAAACCTACCATTAAAATTATAAACTGATAATTTCTTTGCCAGTGGGCAAACGTACAAAATCAGCAGGGGATCAAATGTTTTTTTCCCTCACTGTAGTAGGGAAACAATAAAATAATAAAAACATAAAAAATAAAATTCTCACGACGTTTCGACTGCAACACAAGCAATCATCATCAGGTGTGAAAACCACAGCAGGAAAATTTGAAAGAACCAAGAATATGAATCCCTGCAGTCACGAAAGCTTTAAATCAAAATACAACTTCCTTGTTTAATCAGATCTTTGTATTTATTAACATTATATATTTTTTTACAATTGAGAACCAAAGGGGGGTGCAAGGCTGCACTAAAGTTGAGCAACGACTGCAATATATGAATGACATGTAGTTTAGTTGCCTTTGAAGATTGTACGTATGCATTTATGTTGAACTTTTTTCACACCCTACGTAGCCAACCGTGCTAATTGGAGGTGCTGTGATTTTTTTCTCTCTAATTTTTATAATGAGATTGTTTTTATAGACAGTATGAAATAATAGTGGGATGAATTTAAAGTATAGGATTAGGTCGAAGATTTTGTGAACAAATTGTAAAAACATAGTACGTCCTTGGTACAGGAAAAAAATTACTCTAATCGCTGTAGATTTTTTGTATTTCTGAACAGACTATATATTTGAGTTTTAAAATATACACTTACCACCCAAATGACATCAGTGGTAAAATAAATCCTCATCCAATTCCATGTATGGTTTTCAAAACATTTTATTTTTTGTAGAAATGTGCTTTTTAAATCAGAACACGTAATAATATTTTTATTTCCGATGACGCCAATTTACTCTTTTGCTTTTCAGTGAGATATATCGAGTGCATAATTGGACGAGCCAATTAGTTGCAGGGCTGCACGTTTAGCCATTACTTGACGAGATCGTGGCTAGGGTGTTGGGTGCCGATGTCAATGTGACGGTGAGTCGTGAGAGCAAGTCAGACAGAATTTGGATCAACGTCACTTTTTGGTTATGGGAATTGAATAATGCACTGGGGTGTCTAGATAGAGTACTGGTAAGCCAGAACGTATGATTTGGTATAACTGGTAAATGTGCCAAAGCACACTAATAATAATAATCCGTCAGAAAGATTGTTGATATAAATTCAATGTGCACAACGTGATGTAAGAACATCGAAACTACGGACAACATTTAAGAATCCATGATAGAGGTTTTTGGGTTAGATCGGGTAAATATGTAAATGTGTCGTTAAAACCCGCCACCACCCGACACAGCCAACTAGTAAGGGTTGTCACGTAAACAAAACGTGCCGATTCGTCACTAGTACAGCACTAGTGTATAGTGTAGTGTATAGTGTAGTGTATACTAGTACAGCACACCGGTGTGTTGGAGAGCCAAGCCACAACATTTACACTCTGAGTACGACGTTTCGCGAGTAATTACAACTAGCTTCACCAGGCGACAGACAGATTTGTGGAAAAGTCGTACTGTTTCGTTCCTTATATAGAGGCGTAGTAGATGTGTTGACCACGCTTCTGCGCTCTTGTACAATGTGGGGGGTGGTAGTATTACTGAGGCAACGTACATGATGCATGTGCATTATGGGAGCCTTTTGAAATTGTCCTTCCTGTCTATTGTGTGTAATAAAATAGCCGTACCAACGGTAATCCCTATTGAAGTACGCTGCCCTTTGTAGGCATGCATTTAAATAATGTATTTGATGATTCACTTCCACGCAGCACTAAGGAGGTAGTTATCCGAACGGTTAAAGTTATTTTTTATTTCTTAAATTTTTTATAGATTCTCTAATTAGTCTTGGCCAGTAGTAGCTAGTTTTACACAAAACTTCAATATTATCAAAATCAATTGAGTGTCCTTGTTGGCATGCGTTTTCTGCTACTGCTGTCAGTTGTATTTGGGATCATTTAATATTTATCTGATGTTCTTTTAGTCTCGTGCTGATCATTCGTCCCTTACGTACTCAGATTGTAAATGTTGTGGCTTGGCTCACCAACACACCGGTTAGTGCTGTACTAGTAACGCACTAGTGACGAATTGGCACGTTCTGTTCACGTGACAACCCTTACTAGTTGGCTGTGTCGGGTGGTGGTGGGTTTTCACGACACATTTATATATTTACGCGATCTAACCCATAAACCTCTATTATGGATGATATTGGTCGCGAAAGCCTACGTGTTAAACAATTTAAGAACATTGACCTGAAAGTATTTATTCCACGAACAAAACTAAAACTACAAAACATTTTTTTTTTATTGACGAAAATGGAAATCGCTGTAATACATTTTAGAAAAGGTATTTTAGCACCATTCAAATCCAGTTAAAAGTTGAAATATCGAAACGTGAGATATACATTCGCGTACATATGACGTGCACCATAAACCAGTGGGTTTAGCAAAGCATCATCGTGGAATCTCTCAACTCATTAAACTAAAACAGTTGTTTTTTTTTTTACCAGGTAATGCCCACTGAGCTGGAAAGCTCTTTTTTTCAAAAGCGACCTGGCCACAAATGATAGCTCAACGAATTGACTTATCGTCATGTGAAAATTTATAGCACCCAAATACTCCAAATGCATGTTTCTAAATATAGAGGGGAAAAGCGGAGGACCCGGAGAAAAATCCACACGACCATGGAGAGAGAGAGAACATGCAAACTCCAAGTGTACAGGCGTCAGGGTCTTGATCGAACCCACGACCTCCTGCATACCGGGTGAAGGGAGTCAACATCTCCTAGCCACCGTGGCGGGATGTTGACTCACAGCTCGTGCAGTAGGTGTCCCGAGAAAGTAAGCTGCGCCTTGCCAGGTGCCAGCTTGACAGCTGGAGCCTTCGAGTAAAACTCCATCCATACGGTTTCACCGGTCCGCAGCTCCAGGACAACGTTCTCTGAGAAACGACCCGCAGGGCAGCCCTCCTGAGCGCCGTTGCAGCTCTCCGTGACGACGACGGAGGCGACGTTCCTGTGCAGTCCCGCGCACACGCGCTCCTCCGTGTCCAGGCTGTAGGCGAAGTTGTAGATGCCGTTGGTCATGCACATGAACTCGCCGCTCGATCGATTGTACTGAGCCTTTGCGTCGAAGATGACGCTGTCGAACCTGACTGCCTGGCCTGCCGCGGGCCGCAGATTCAGGGACTTGACGGTGAAGGCTGGGAAGGGCGCGCCGCGGCCGGCGTTGATGGACCGCAGGGATCTTTTCTTTTTTGCTTCAGAGGCCTTGCGCACGAAGTCAGTCAGCTTCATTTTGGACTTCTTGGTCTCGTCTTTGAACCGGTAGATGTCCTTGGGCAATGATTTGGACGGGGGGCGCTGCAACGTGCCGACGTTCGTACCATTGGGGTTTTGCTGCAGGCGATAGGTTGTTTGTACGTAAGGAATGCGCTCAGTGTAGTCGGTGGAACATTTGAAATATTGATATGGCTGAATGTACGTGGCCTCGCAGGGATGTCGCGGATAATCGGTTGGCTCGCAGGGATGTCGCAGATTATTTGCAGGTGTAAGTGCTGAGCCTGGGGGTCCTGGAGGACCTGGGATTCCACGTTGCCCCGGAGGCCCCGGCTGATTGCAGCTGACCGAGCACTGTCCCGCATATCCTCTCGGTCCAGCAGGACCCATGAAACCTGGAGGACCCATCATCCCGCACGGTCCGCGAGCGCCAGGCGGGCCTGCGTCTCCTGGAAGTCCCTGTGGGCCCGCATCTCCAGGAATTCCCATTCCACGAGGCCCCATGATTCCGGGCTCTCCGATTGCACCGGGGGGGCCCAGAGAACCAATACCACCTGACATTCCCAACCCACCTGGATCCCCAACCGGCCCTCTTGGTCCAACACCCCCACGAAAGCCAGGCGTTCCTGGGAATCCCACTGAGCCCATGATGCCGGGGTTGCCCGGTGGGCCTGGCCGGCCAGTCACTCCACAGTTCCCATCAATGCCAAAGGGTCCTGGAAAACCGGGCTCACCAATCTCTCCTTTTCTGCCAGGAGCCCCAGTCATTCCCATGATGCCGCACAGCCCAGGAACTCCCTTTCTGCCTCGACCGCCTGGAGGGCCCGGCGGTCCAAGTATGCAGCCATCGCCCGCAGCGCCTCTCAGTCCCGTGACACCTTTAAACCCCTCCTGTCCAGGAAATCCCGGTGGTCCCATTAATCCCGTGGTTCCCGGAGGCCCCGGCTGCCCACGGGATCCTGGGTTCCCGTTCAGCCCTGGTGGCGCGAGTTTGCAAAGCCTCCCACTAGGCCCGAGTTGCCCGGGGACGCCTCTGGGTCCGGGAGGGCCTGGCATTCCCGCGAAACCCATCGCGCCGCTGTACCCCTTCTCTCCGACAGGACACGCGTCCAAATTGGAGGGTCCATCTACGGTGCCCGGGTCCCCCTTGTCTCCCTTGACAGCGTTGCAGCAACTCATCCCACGCTCGCAGTCTAAGCCTTGAGGGCCAGGAGGCCCAAGGGCACCTAGGGGACCTCGAAATTGGTCCTGGCAATCAACATTTCTGTCTGCAAATAAGAAAAGAAAACAAAAAAACTTACAAACATGTAATGGTCTTTTACACAGCAATGAGAAACACAATTTAATTGAGACGATTGTGGAACAGACACAGAACCACTGAGAGTAGTTTTTTTTGACAGATGTTAAACTACACAGGCCTATGACCAAAGTACCCGTAATTCCCCAATGTCATCAGATTTCTCGAACTCAGCGTGGTTAAATTTTAATTTAAAGCTTTCGTGACTGCAGGGATTCATATTATTGGTTCTTTGGGTAAAGTCACATAAAATAAGAAATTGTATTTTTTCTCTTATATTTGACTTCACCGAATTGAACCAAGAATATGAACTCAGCGTGGTTGAGCCTGGCGAGTGCTTGAATGTGGGGAGACCGTCGTGCACAGCAGGTTGTCATAGGTCATGCGTGCGGGTACGTGGTGAGTGGCGAGCAGCCGAGCGTAGAGCGGCAACATCCATTATTGTACTGTGATTCCACAGGGTGGTCCAGATGTCTTGTGCCCCCTCCTTTTAATGATCTAAAATTACTTATTTTTTATCGTAAGGTTTTTTTTCAAACAGAAAGAATGTGCAAAGGAAAAAAATGTTAGGGGTCAATTACATGGGGGGATCACGAGACGTCTGGAGCCACCCTTGCTGACCTGCAGAGTGTAGTGCGGTCAAATAACATCCCACAACCCACACGGAATGGGGAGGCCTTTATCCAGCAGTGGATTGATAAGACGGGCTGTACATGTTTGACAATACGCACAGAGACATTGAGCCTGATGGCTCAGGCTGGGGCGACTAAAGTGTTAGAGCCCTGGGGCAGCGCTTCTGAGATGATGGGACCAAATCCAGGCACACACCCCTCCATGATTAAACAAAGGTTCCCAAGGGTGTAAAGAGTCTCGGACCATCACAACGACTATCACAGGGGGTCGGCAACATGCGGCTCCGGAGCCGCATGCGGCTCTTTAAGTGACTGCTTCGTGACGTTAGTGATTAAGGAAGTGCATTGTGGATCTCGGATTTTTGTTTTGACCGAATTCGAACAAAAAATGGTTCTTCTTGTTATTTTGGTTGGCGATCCCCTAGACTGTGAGCACAGTCGTTCTGAAGGCACCTTTACATTCTCCATGGTCCCCTGAAGTTAATTTACAGAAAGTGCTCTCCTAACATCTGACAACAGATCTCCTGCCCTCCAAAACGTCCAATCATCCAAATTGCTGGGACCCCCCCCCCCCCCCACCGCCCTTCTTCTACCTTGGCAGTTGGATTTCGCGGCTGCGAGTGGAATCGAGGTGAAGATGATCGCCACGTGAAGGCAGGCAGCAGCAGCGGCTGCAGCAGCAGCACGGAGTGATGGCCTCCTGTACATCGCGCAGCCGGATGCTAGAAGTGCTGGGGCGGGAAGACGGATGAGGTCAATATCGTAAGACATCGCATTTCCGAACCTGTCACATCCCCACTAACAAATATAACTATCGTAACGCATGTGCGTAGTGCTATTGTCGTTGTCTTTATTAACACTTAATCCTTATCACACCCCATGGTGTAAAGTGCAGTGTCCGCCTCTTGTTATTATTACTATCCACTCTTTCTCTCTATGTACCATAAAAAAATGGGCCGTTGCCTGAAACGTCGCCTATTTGATAGGCTTCCTTTGAAGCCCGCACACAAAGGGCTATTGACGGACGAGTTGAGATTTTTGGGTTTGTCATTTTCGAGAGATTTATATTCAGGAAGATGTTTACAAATCCGGTCTGCCTCAGCAGCAGACCATGCTTTCCCACCAGATGATGGACGCTTGTGTTGCGCCCGAAGCGTCGTGATTTATTTTTATTTTATTTTATACCTACGTGACGTTACCGAAAGAACCAAAGAGTATGAATTCCTGCAGTCACGAAAGCTTCAAATCCGAAATGTTTACCTATCCGCTCATACCTCAGTCCCCATTGAGTTGGGCATGTGACGTTGTGCTGTACTCCACAGAAAATTTAGTCCATAACCCGGGCTTAATTTTAGCTGGATGGTTTTCAAAGGTCAGGGTCCTGTAAAATACATTCACACCTGGCACACCACATCCATAATACATCTCCCTGGGGCTGTGGCTGCTAGTCACGTGCCTACCCAAATCGTCCAGTTGTCACCTGTAAAATACATTAACACGCGGCACACCACATCCAGTATGCATCTCCCTACGGCTGTGGCTGCCAGTCACGTGCCTACCCAAGTCTTCCAGTCACCTGTAAAAAAAACATTTACACGCGGCACACCACATCCAGTATGCATCTCCCTCGGGCTGTGGCTGCTAGTCACGTGCCTACCGCAGTCGTCTAGTCACCCAGAAAATATCCGGCGAGAATCTAAGCCCTGACCACAATACACCTGCGCACGTAAGATATAAAAACACGGTTAAAGTACAGTATAATTTGCAACTCACACTAAATAAGTACGTACTGATTTTTTTAAAAAGCCAATCTCAGCGCACTTAGCATCCGTTGCAGTACATTGATGTTTAGAGTTGAGCGCAGTGCACTGCACAGCAGCAGGGAACAAGGGTAGAACCTTTGTGAGTGTGGAGATGGTTTCTGGTCGCGAAATGTTCTCGGTGTTGCACTGCATGTAACAACAACAACAAAACATGGTAAAGGCGCAGCCCTGCAATTGCCTGCTCACGCCACTGCTGGTAGAAGGGCCTCCACGAGAGGAAGTTCTAGCGAGAGATTCCCTGCAGCGTGTACGTTGGCCTACTCTTCCACACCTCTCGGAAAACCTGGCAGAGGTTTGTAGTACCCATAATTCGCCCCCCACTAAACGTGTGACCTAGCGTTTGGCTGTGGTGTATCCCCACGCACGCTGTTAGGTGCACAGTGACTGATGGGGGGGGTTGAGACACTTGCCCCATCGTTTCAACTGCTGCACCGGGAGATCGAATCTCTACAACCACTGGCGGAGCCAGTGGGGGGAAGGGGGTGGAGTGACACGTGCCCCCCCCCCCCCAATGATCCGATCAAAATCTCTAATTTCGATCGGATCATTGGGGTTTATTAGTAATAAATCGGCATTTTGCGACCCCCTACACAGTAGCATATTATTATGCTACACAGTAGCATAATAATATGCTATTGTGTAGCATATTATTACGTCCCTGGCACGTAATAATATGCTACACAGTAGCACGTAATAATATGCTACACAGTAGCATGTTATTACGTGCCAGGGACTCTATGAGATGATAGGACAATAGTCTGAGTCCATAATTGACAATAAGTAACGGAAAAGCGGTTATAAGAATTGTGCGCAGTTGCGTATACAGTCCACGACTTCCCTGGAGGCTAACACCTTCAGCGAGTGCGATGCCGATCACGCCACACACGCGTCGAATAAGAAGCAAGGCACAAGTCCTTACTTACTAACAACTCCTCTTTCATTTCTCATTGCTGGAGGGGTTGCCCCCCCTACCTGAAAATCCTGGCTCCTTCATTGTATCCGACCTTTGGCTTGCGTGTCCACCGTGATAACTATGAACACCACAGCAGCATCCCACTGCGTGGATATATCACGAGCGTGCCATTCTTATATGTCAATTTTGTAAAAAATATGTAAACGCAGCCTGTGCTCCTATAACGCGTGTTTTCATAACAGGGATTGCATTGAATGTATGAGGGAACACATTTTTTGTTATGACGCGGACGCGAATTGGATATGCTGCTCTTGAGCGAACGGAGTGACGTCGCGCGAGTCGGAATAAGCGGTCGTACGGCTGCCTCGGCGTAGCATCATCACACGAGGCATTGGGATACTGCTGGATGCTTCTAAATGCTACCCACGCGCCTCAGTCTTTGTTCAGCCTGCGTACGCATGCCACTGTGCTTTACCCCTATATTATCTATTATTTATTACAACGCGATTTTTTTCAGAACGCGGTGTTCTTCAGGAACGCAACTACCACCGCATTATAGGAGAACGTACCGCACATAATAATCACAACACACATGGTTATATTCTTTAGGCACACACACAAGTAAGCCATAGTTTTACGATTGGCGGGTCTTGCGTGAGACCTATCTGGGCTCTCATCGAATTGAAGTAACTCGCACATTTTTTGTTCACATTTTCACAACAACAACAATGAACTTGCAATACACAATGATGCACGCGCATACACAAACGCACAAGGAGCTACAACCGCAGTGATTTGGGACACGAGACTGAACCCCGGGCTGGAGGCTGTACTTGGGGTTGCACACCAGAGGCCGAAGGGCGCAGGAGGAGGAGAAGGAGGAGAGGAAAACGACAGGAAAGCAGGTGGAGAGGTGGCAGGGGCAAAGCTATAGCAAGCAAACTCTAAAACTATGTTTTAATTTTACCAGGTAAGGAGGCCCACTGAGCTATGTAGCTCTTTTTTCAGAAACGACCTGGCTCTCACAAATGATAGCTCAACGAAGTGGGCTTATCACCACTTGGACATTTATCGCAGCCAAGCACTCTAAGCGCACGTTGATTCTAAATGTGGAGGGGAAAAAAATCGGAGCACCCTGAGAAAAATCCACGTGACCACGGGGAGAACACGCAAGCTCCAAATATAAAGCAGGCGTCAGGGTCGGGATCGAACCCACGACCTCCTGTATACCAGGCGAGGTAGTTAACATCTCCTAGCCACCGTGATGATGATGAGAGAGAGAAACACGCAAACTCTAAATATACAGCAGGCGTCAGGGTCGGGATCGAACCCACGACCTCCTGTATACCAGGCGAGGTAGTTAACATCTCATAACCACCGTGATGATGATGAGAGAGACACGCAAACTCTAAATATACAGCAAGCGTCAGGGTCGGGATCGAACCCACGACCTCCTGTATACCAGGCGAGGTAGTTAACATCTCATAACCACCGTGATGATGATGAGGGAGACACGCAAACTCTAAATATACAGCAGGCGTCAGGGTCGGGATCGAACCCACGACCTCCTGTATACCAGGCGAGGCAGTTAACATCTCCTAGCCACCGTGGCGTCCGTGGAGAAGAGAAGGGATTGACGTTGTGCGAAGCAGTGACATTGGCTGGAGAACCGTGGAAGAAATTGCTTGGGCCCCATCGTTCGCGAATGAGCTGAACAGAAGGGACATATGATGATGATGACCATATGTTAATCAAATACTTATACATTCAGTATCGTAAAGCGAAATACATTGCACAATATTCTGTAGGCATACACCCAAGAAAGCCATAGTTTTACAGATTAATTAGAACTATGTAACGGTAATAATACTGTAACTCGTCCGTATTGAATCACCTTTGGCAGATCTTGCGGGAGATCTATCTGGCCTATCATCTGATTAAAGTAACTTGAACGACCAGTTTTTGTGAAAAATTATCGTTAGCTGGGCACACTCATTTCTTGAGAACTACTTTTCGTGTTTAGTTTTGCTGACCTTCTCGGCAGCTCCGATTAGCACGGTTGGCTACGTACGGTGCGAAAGAAGTTCAGCGTCCGTACACTGCCATGTTAAGGAGTCTACTCACTGCGCAAGGTCAGACACGGGCCTCGCGTGCAGACCCCCCCATGAACAGCCGGCCACTCTCTCGCAGGTTCACCGGCTGGCTGGCACGCGCCGCTTGCCCCTCGCCAAAACAATCGCCTCGCGAAACAGTTAACAACTCGCGGCGTGGGTGCTTCAAACCGCCCGACGAAGCCCCGTGCCCACCTTCCAGACCGTGCGAGGAATCAACGGCGAGTTCACGGCGAGATGACCTCCGCCGAGCGACAACTGCGCCCATCTGCCGACAGCTGCCTCAATGGGCGGTGACGCGGCGGCCCAGCGGTAAGAAAAAAAAAACGCGGAGTTTCGCCCCTCGTGGCAAAGGCTCTCCGCGGTTCCCATTCGAGCGGCCGCCCCGGTTACTACTGCGGCTGCGTGCATCGGCAATGGCACGACGCGCCGTCCGCTCCAGCCGCGGTGGACGGCAGGAGGTTCCCACCGGCGGCATTCGCGGGCGGGTTTCGAATTTGCCCAATCGTAAATCTATCGGCGAATGACTCGGTTGGGATTCATACAGATGAGCGATCATCCCCGGGGTCACGCGCTCGTGCGAAACGAGACTTGCCTCGGTCCGGCGAGTTTTCAGGCAGTTTAAACGAATCGAACGCGAAACCTGAAACGCACCTGTGCGTGTCGTCGTTGGGTCCGTGTCAGCCGCGCGAGCCGCGGCGCCAGGTGGAGGGATGGCAGCAGTCGCTGTTGAAGTGGTCATTGAGAGTTGAGGTCCCTACCCAACCCCGCACCAAGAAGAACCGCCTCTACTCCCTCCCTCCCTCCTCCTCCTCTGAAAGAGCCCCCCCCCCCCCTTACAAAGGAAGAGTGCGTTCAGGTGCCACTGGAAATACCTGTCATTCGGCATGAACGCATGTTCCAAATGCAATTGAAAGAAGGGGGGTGGGGGGGGGGGGGAGAAAAAAGTCCCTAAGCATCTAAAGAGTGATGATGGTGATTGCAAGAGCGCTTTGGGGTCTTCTGTAATGTGACCGACAGATGGCGCCAAAGTAATTCTCAGTTTGCTTTGTGTATCTCGGTGGGTGCCCAACGAGATTCAGCGAAATGACTGAAGCAGACCTAATGGCTCATTTCCATATTTGTCTCTCCACATAAACCATAAAAAAGTCACTATATATTTTTAATGTATCAAATCGACCACGCGGCGTTGTTTCAAGACAAGCAACACTCTGGACCAGTTTTGAGATTCGATGCCTTCAACAGCAACGTTTGACTTGCTCAAACCAATGCTGGGGAGCTGTCAAGATGTTTCCTAGGATCGGCAAGGATCCTCTCTGTTAGTTATGGGTTCTCATTCGACGAAACCCCTAAATGATAACACGCACAACATATTATAATTTGTGTTGCTGTGGAGAATTTTACCGTGTCCGTGGAAATACTTTTGCGTGTTTTTTTTTTCGTGTGGAGAGGCAGATTATGTGAATGAGACCGTACCGTCTGCCTATTTACGTCATTGTTTACGTCCTCCAGAACGTCGCTGGTTACATGTCTATCGTCGCATTACAAAGACAGTTAGAAAGTGCCGCGTGAAGGCCCCCTGCCCAAATATCACCAATCATACATTTATTTTTCTTAGCTTTTAAAGCCACAGTTCTTGTTTGTCAAACGCCGTCAACACGACGATAAGCAGTGTGTTGTGGGGTTTTTTTGGCGGGGGAAACTTTAACATTGCTTACTTCATACCTTCATTAAATACAGCCAGGGGGACATTGATAATCATTTTTTTTGTTTCCTAGGAGACACGTAAAAAATAAATCTGTTTTCTTTTTCAAACACAATGTATTCATCTACACTTCCCGTTATCGCAGGTCATGTGAGACTAGATGTAAGTAAAGTGCATGTATTGTTCGTAACGTTTAAACTGCACAGCTGTAAAACTCAGAGGGCCTGTTGAGTTGGCATCATCAGTGGCAACAGATGGCTCAAATCGGTCCTGATCCACTTTCCAGCGTGTCGAAATATGGTCAAACAACACCCACGACCAACATACAGCAGTGGATAGACAAAGTTGCTGTGAATTATTGTTTCTTAAGTACTTTAAAATGGAAAGCGTAGATATCCGGTCGGTCTCCCTGTACGTGAGTTGAATCAGTGATGCATTAAACTGGTGCTTCAGTATGGTATGCATGTTGAACTTCTTTCGCTCCGTACGCAGCCAACCGAACTAATCGGAGGTGCTGGGGACAACAAATTGAACACAAGAAGCAGTTCTGAAGAAATTAGCCTTCAATCTAGATGATTTCAAAGCGCATAGCTCCGGTGGCTGCCTAATATCGGAAGGAATAGAGTTCGAGATGTCCGCAGAAGCGCATCTGTCTTTGTTCGATGGCTTGCCAAAAAGCCGCTGCGAGGGTGATTGCAGTTCCCGTGATGGTTTATGCTCCTTGAGATCGCCAAGGTACTGTGGTTCACTCCTGGCACGCACTTTGTGTGTCATGAGTGCGACCTGATAAGGCAGTGGTTCTTCACCTGGGGCGCACGCACCCCCGACACACGGATGGAGCACGGACACGGAAGCACAACTTACCTTGTTCCATCAGACCGATGTATTTCACGGCTGAGAACCAAAGGGATGCAAGGCTGCACTAAAGTTTGAGAACCACTGCTCTGATGTATTCGTCCGGCAACCGTGAGCCAATGCAGCGTGGCGAGCACTGACGCGGTCGTGTGGCAGGGGGTTAACGAGGCTCGTGCTGGCTGACCTCTCCCCACCACCCTGTGAGAGCTCGCTAACTTTTGATTGAAAGCTTTCGTGCCTGCAGTGATTCATATTCTTGGTTCTTTCGGTAAAGTCACGTTGAAGGGAAACAAAAAAATCATAAAATATATATAAAACAATAAAATTCTCACGACGTTTCGACTGCAACACAAGCAATCATCACACCTGATGATCATCATCACCTGATGAGCGATCATCACCTGATGATGATCGCTTGTGTTGCAGTCGAAACGTCGTGAGAATTTTATTGTTTTATATATATTTTATTATTTTATTGTTTCCCTTCAACGTGACTTTACCGAAAGAAACAAGAATATAAGCTCGCTAACAGTTGCACCTCTTCAAAGCTGCGAAAGTGCGCAAGCTAAAACGTGTGACGAGAAATAATAAAGTTTTCACTGTGGGCCCAACAGCATTTGTTCAAGAGGCCGCAATCTACTGATGAGACTCAGAAAATCAAAACCGATCCAGAGTTTGCCTGTTAAAATCATTTTACTTAAATACAATGGTTCAGAAAGGTCGATTTGTTGAACGACCAATATGCGTTATTTTATTTTAAAGTGTAACCACTGCTCTGGAATTATATTCATTACTCGTGAGAATTAGCAGCACGCGATGGTCGATAGGGGTCTTGAATCAAGTGCACGCATTCCTCTGCCGTATGGACACACAGCAAGACACAACAACACACAACCACAGAAACAAACAAGAACACACCTGTTCAGCGTTCGACAGCAGTACACCACTGGTTTATGGAAAATACAGCGCCACAGCCGATCCCCTACTCAAATGGTGACCTCAAGTGATGTAAGTAACCCGGTGGTGTAAATTCCACATTGCCATGGCCCTACCGCTGAATCGGTTGGTTTAGCGAGCGACTCGCGGATTGGTAGGCGTGAGTTCAAATCCAGGTTGGAGGTTGACGCAGCACATTGTCTCTCCGGAGTTGATACAATGAATGCCGCTCCGTCGTTGTGCCACGGATGGACTCGCCCCTGCCATGGGCACATGGAATATCCACCACCGGCTCAGCGCTGTAAAACGGGAGACGCTCCTTTCGAGCGAGGGGTCACGTTGTCTCTGGCTATCATTGGCGTGGCGAGGTGAGTGGCGTTGGCGTGGTGACAGCGCCGCTCACCTTGACCACGGGTAGACGGCAGATTGTCGCCAAGCGTGACGCCGAGGGGTTGGGTGGGGGTGGAAGGTAACAAATTAAAGGGGTTAACGAGGAGTATCGTGGGATCTGGCGGAGGGGAGATGGCATTAGCGAGGCGTGGGCGACGACCGTGGCTCCGACCACGATGACATCTTGAGCTTATTTTATTGCCACAAAGGGTAAAACCTATTCTTATATTTTGATATACTGGCAAGGGAGGTCCCTTGATCTTTTGATCTGATCGTGTATTCGGTACTCAAGTTCTAATTAAAAAAAAAAACTATTCGCACATCTTACAAGATGATTGATTATAAAATAGAAGGGGGGGGGGGTGGTTGACCGTGGATTCACAATGGAACGTTCAACGAGTGTTATTTCGCGGTTCGCCGCCGTGGTGGTGGTGGGATGTAGGAGAGAGGATTTTTGAAAAGAACCTGATGGGAACGAACCCGAGAGACGCCCGCCACCAAATCCTTTCCATTTTACTTCCCACAAAACCCTGTCCAGCTGCCCTGCCCTCTTGCCTTGGTGACACCGCGCGATGCAACAGGACGCGCCACGACACTCGGCGGCCTTATCGGAGCCCCGAATCCAGACGAATGCACAATAAACAGCTGGCGCACTCCCGTCTCTGATGGCATTCAAATCAGCATTTGACATCACACGAAGACGGCTCGGAATCTGATTTTTATGGACTTGCGATGCAATGTAAACAGGAGCAATAAAAAAAAACAGGCTCTGTGAAAAACAACACGGAATTGAACAAAGACAAAGGTCTCCCGTATAGGCTTAGCAGACTGTTGGGGCGAGTGCTGTTCGCGGGTAGCACCTATAAAGGTCAGCACGGCACGCATTTAATCCGGGCAGTGTTGGATGCATTTTGCTGCTATAAAAGCAGCTTAAATTCCACAGATCAGATTTCAGGTTACCACAGCCTAAATGAAAATGCATATTTCATCTGTAAATCGAGAATGACGCACGCAGTCACATTCGAATACAGTTGAAATACGACGTTTAAGTAATCGCAAGGTTAACATTTTCTGCTTTTGCAAAGTTAAGTCAGTCAAACCTCATCACTGGGGGGGGGGGGGGGGGCACTTAATTACATTCGCTGTGGAGTGCCACACCCGTGGGGTTCCATTCGTAATGACGAGGCTGCCACTGTGCACTTATCGCTCCGGTGTGAGATGATCCACGTTGCTCACGATTGGCTGTGGAGGCAGCGGTGTGGGCGTAGCTGTTAGCGCTACGAACACGGCGACCCAAGTTCGATTCCCGCTCACAGCAGACATCAGTGACAGTGATCTGAACCGGACCTGAGCCTCCCCTAGTTCGACTTAGTCTCAAATAAGTACCTGGTGCAGTGTGTAAAACATTGCCACTGGGGAGACGAAGTCGGTAGGGCTTGATGCTGGCCACCCATTACCCTCATGTACCGTGCCAGCCTTCAAAGCATGGTGGTGAGATATTAACTTCCTCACCTAGTATGCAGGAGGTCGTGGGTTCGACCCTGATACCTGTATATTTTGAGTTTGCATGCTCCTCCGTGGTTGTGTGGATTTTTCTCCGGGTCTTCCAGTCTTTTGCCCTCCACTTTTAGAAACATGCCTTTAGAGTATTTGCCTGCTATACATTTCCACGTGATAGGCCACTTCATTGGGAATCATTTGTGGCCAGGTCGCTCTTGGAAAAGTTCTACATAGCTCAGTGGGCCTTACCTGGTAAAATAAAATAAATATATAGCCTATTCTTAGTTTTTTCGGTAAAGTCACGTTGAAGAGAAACAACAAAATAACAAAATATATATACAACAATAAAAAAAAATTCTCACGACGTTTCGACCATAACTCAAACGGTCAT